TATAAAGTACGAGAAATAGTTGCAATTGTAAAGACCTTCCGCGCGGATCCGCTCATTCAGTTCGCGGTATTTCCGTTTGATTTCTTCCTGATTCGCCGTGTCGAGGGACGGGTACTTGGCGACATCAAAGACGATCTCCTCTTGAGTTCGGGCATCAAGGAAGAAGGGCTTCGGCTCGAACCCTTCAGTCGGAGTGGTTGAGACTGATGTATCTGAAGTCGTTGTTGATTTCCTTCGGCGACGGACTCCTGGTGCTTTGTCTCCTGCGTCTGCTGCATCAAACACTGGAGAAGGGGGCTGTGAGATATCCTGATCTGTGCTGTCCTCGTCGCTTGAACATGTCTCGCCTGGATATGGACGGAACTTCCCGCCCTGGATCGGAGGGAGAAAGTTCAACCACGGTCCCTGGATGCGACCAATCTGGAAAGACAACATTCGCTGGCGTGCCTCTGGTGAATGTAACCTATACAAAAGCGAACGTCAGTTGTCAGGTTACGATCGTCTTGGATTCCTCGGTAACCGTACGCATTGATTTCGTCCGTCGCATCCCGTCCGACCATGTGTTTAATAGACTTGTCTCCTCCGGGGTGAAATTTGATCCACGCATCGACCTTGAGCACTCGATCATCGAAAATGATGATATGCTTGCCATCAGCGATTTGACCCTCAATGTACCGCCGTGACAAGATTGCGTCCTTTCGCGCTCTGGAGCCCGGCGTACGGGCCGCTTCCTGTGTCTGGGTCATCCCGAGGTTGTCATAGGCTGGATCGATAGACTCGAGCTCAGGAATGGGTACGAATCTGGATAGACTCCAGCATCGTCTTGTTTAGGAATTGAAAATGCAAAAGAAAACCAACAGGGATGATCCCTAATGAAGGTCCAAGTCTGGAGACCTCGGAAACGGCCTGCGTCGCTATGGGGCGGGAAGCGGTGACTGTGGATTGCTCAAACAGGCACAAAGCGGGGACAAGCCGACAGAAGCACATGAAACGTGCTCCATTGCACTGGCGATCATCATCCCATCCCATCCATTCTAGATATTCCATTTCAAAGCCACAATCAGCCATCGGCCTATCATACTATCTTGTCAATTCATCTGATCCGTCCGTCTACAACGTCCATTCATCATCGTATGATCCACCATGCCTGTTCCTGCGTCTACAATTGAGGTAGTTCAATGAAATCTTCACAGGTAGCCGAAATATATATCTAATTGCAGTTGTACTGTGTTCTATAGGAACCTCTTTCTTTACTGGTTCAGAAATGGCTTGAGTGGGACCGGGTAAGTTGATTGCGTGCTCGCAAGTAGCTCCAATGATACCATGAAAGATTGCTGACCTCAAACGCAGAATCCCGAGACGCGGGCTGAAATTGAGCAGCTACAGAAGGCTGGAGCGACTGCAGAGCTCGAGCTGCGTCTTCGGCAGCGTATGTATATTCTGCAATACAAGCTCCTTTGTCTCCTGCACCCGCCGCCTTTCTAACCACACAAGTACAGCCATTCAATTCGGAACCGCCGGCCTTCGTGGTCGGATGGCGGCAGGGTTCTCCTGCATGAACTCCCTGACCGTCATTCAGGCATCGCAAGGATTGGCCAAATACATTAGAGACAGACACTCCGACATTGCGTCGAACGGTGTAGTCATTGGCCATGACGCTCGGCACAACTCTGCCAAATTTGCTGTTCTGGCAGCCAATGCCTTTATTGCGATGAAAATACCAGTCTGGTATTATTCAGAGTCCTCCTTGACACCATCAGTACCATTTGGTGTGACGCATTTGCGAGCTGCGGCTGGCGTCATGATCACTGCAAGCCATGTATGTTTCCTCACAATTCGCGCAGTGACAAGAGCAAAGAGGTCTGACACAGATGATTTTGTCGACAGAACCCAGCCCAAGACAACGGTATGAATTGCACTCCCTACATCTCGGTTCTGATAGCTAATTGCGTACAGGTTACAAAGTGTTCGGCTCACGCTTCCTTGATTCCAAATGGACGACGCTGACTGTTGGACTAGGTATTTCAAGAACGGCGCTCAGATCAACACCCCTATGGATGTTGAGATAGCGGAATCCATTGACAGCAACCTAGATCCGTGGCCAAATGCTTGGAACAGCCTAGAAGCCACGGAGTATCTCCATGCTGAAGCTCTTCAGACGATTCTGCCTCGGTATACCGAGGCGGTCTGGAACTATGCTGTGAGAACCATGCCACCCTCATTCGGGATAATCGACTAATAGCGTGCCTAGAAATCCACCGTCCCTAGCTGGTCAAGTCCACGTCCATTCATGTATACTCCTTTGCATGGGGTCGGAGGTCTGATCTTTCCCAAGCTATGCCGCTCAGTTGGAATAACCGACTTCGCCGCTGTAACAGAGCAAGTGGAACCGAACCCTGATTTCCCAACAGTATCGTTCCCAAACCCGGAGGAGAATGGATCTCTGGACTTGGCGATGCAGGCAGCTGATAAAGAGGGCAAAACGCTCATTATTGCTAATGACCCGGATGCAGATCGGTTCGCTGCTGCCGAGAAAGTTGAGTAAGTCGGCATGACATGCGAAGGGCGTTTCTATATTCCTAGAGATAATCACTAATTGTCGGGTAGCGGCTCTTGGTTCACCTTCACGGGGAACCACCTTGGCGTTCTACTGGCATCGCATCTGTTTGATTCGCTTGAAGATCGAAATGACAAATCACGCATAGCTGTCTTGAACTCCGCGGTCTCCACAGGCATGCTCGAGAAGATGGCAAGGTCAAAGGGCTTCCACTTTGAGGAAACATTGACTGGATTCAAGTGGATGGGAAATATTGCACGGAGACTGGAGGAGTCAGGGTACCATGTACCTTTTGCTTTCGAGGAAGCCCTGGGGTATATGTTCCCAGATGTGTGCCACGACAAGGACGGCGTGACTGCTGCTATGATTTTCCTAGCAGCGGAAGCTCGATGGAGATCTCAGGGCCTCACCCCTTATTCGAAACTACAGCAGCTGTTCAAGGATTTTGGGTACTTTGAAACACTCAATAATTACTTCCGATCACCTAGCCCCGAAATCACAAAAAGCCTTTTCGGAGCCATCAGGAACGGGCCTTACCGAACACAAAAATCCCTTGGTTCATTCAAGATCCTGAGGTGGAGAGACATGACAGAGGGTTATGATTCAGGCACAGAGGATCAGAAGCCAGCACTTCCAATTGACAAAAGCAGTCAGATGCTGACCCTGTGGCTGGACCGAGATGTTCGGTTCACCATCCGTGGCTCTGGCACAGAACCAAAAGTCAAGGGTAATTTTCACAGCAGGAACATATGTGCAAAACATTGCTAATTGACTTTTCTTAGTCTATATCGAAAGCTGCGGTGCTTCTCATGCGCAGGCGGTGGATGCTGTCTGTGACACCTTTCGAACAGTTTTGAAAGAGTGGATCCAACCCTTTGCTCCTTCGATGAGCTATAGCAGAAATCTGCCTACGTCGTCTGGTCATATTCTCAACATTGATTGAAAGAGTGACCTGGATGACCTGCGACCGCTAAACCTAGTAACCTCGTCTACTGCATATGCTCATTTGTATGGTCATAGAGGACACCATCTGGTTGTACTACTATACTTCTTTGTGACACCCTGGCAACCCCCAGAAAATCAAGTGGGTAGCACAACATTTCCGAATTGACATCGGATTCGCTACAGCAAGTACCTGCTTTTGAATAGGGCCAGGAAGAGCCTCATGTAGTGTTTGACCTCGCTTTCGAAAAGGCTTCTTCCGTCGTGTTCGAGATGGGGGCTAGGCTGGCGAACTACATCTGATGTTGCACAGCAGCCCACACCTTGTACGACGAGTCCTGTCGGGCACAGTCGCTATCAAGATCTGGTGAAAGTTCTTTCCCCTCTGAAGTTGACCTTTATCTGTCCAAATAGCGCTTTGGCATTTAAACAGTTGTAGCTCCCAGCACTGAGTGCCAACACCGAGTGTTTACAAACCCATCGTCTCCCACCAGTTGGCTTGTTATTCACCCATAATCGCTCATTGATTCTCTGTAATGGCTATCCGTTCATCCAGCTGGTCTAAACATGTGCATCGACACACCGTCGAGCACGGCACTCACCCGACCGGCAACAATTGCAATCCTTATCCGTATAACACACGTGTTGGCGGGCAAAATTGCGAGGTCAACAGCGACGACAGCAACACGGACTCTTCAACATTCGGCTCCCATATTCACCGAGGCATTGGAGCTTGTTGCCATTCCACTTCGAGGGCTCGACATGGCTGCCAGCACATGTGCGTAGATACCTTCCCAGCATCACACTGACCTTAATAATGCCCTTGCCAGTCAAAGTACAGTTACTAATATGGACACCGGGGCTACAGTCTAAACCAAGCCCACCCTCAAGGCGAGGGAATGCACGATCACCACCATCACCAACAAACCACTAGCACAAGCCACTGCAACCGCACAGCTCAGTCCCACTCCTATGAGAGCTATCCGCCCCATTTTACCTGTCACAGTCACGGCCACGTCCAGCAGCACAGACTCCATCACCACCATTACCATCACCAATTGACTCACTCTACGCATTATGACGGAGCAAGGGAGACTAGTCAATCCTGCACCTGCAGCCATACGTATGGAACTGAAACTCGTGCTCACGGTGGTGGGTATCGAGGTCGTCGTGGTTTGACGCGGGTGTGTCTGTGTCGGCGGCCGTATGGGCCTCCGTTGCCGGGTGGGTTGATGTGCGTGGGTAGGGGACAGGTGGGATGTGCTTATAGGAGGTAGACTCGTTCTTATTTCATGTCGGGTTTACTGGATTTGGGCTTTTGAAATATCTTTTTGAATTTGTGTGTCATTTGATATGTGTTCGTTGAATGGGGTATAAAAGCGATGTGTTCTTGAGACAAATCATGACCCATTATCTTGGACTCATAAGCAGAAGTTTCGTATCTCTCAGACCGAGCGATCATCATTCATTATCCGGCCAAGATCTCCATTCCAGAGCGTCACTACTCGGACGAAACATTTTCCTCATGCTGTGTAGTCTGAGCAGCGGGCTTACCAGCACCCGCCTCAGAATCCAGGAGACTGTTCTTCCGGCCGGCAGTATCAATATACCCAGGGTTCTCAGCCTTGAGACGCGCAAAGGTCCGCTCCGCATCCCACACCCAGGGCGTCTCAGCCGCGAAAAGCAGGTCCATGTCCTCCAGTGTCCGCTGGTTACTTTCCGGGTAGAGAGCCCAGACCATGGGGATTGTAATGACGTTGCTGATGGCGAAGATGTACAGGGTCTTTTCGCCGATGGAGCTGAACATCACCGGGCAAAGGAGGGTCTATGAATGTCTCAGTTTGATTGTTCGCTAGGAGAGGGGTTGTGGATACTGACCAGCCAGCCGTTTCCGATACTCCATCCTACCACGCCCCAGGCGTTTCCTCGGGCGCGGACTGCTAGGGGGAAGATTTCTGCGGGGTAGATCCAGGGGACTGATGAGATGTTAGTGGAAGTTCTGGATGAGTGGAGACTGGAGGTTGAAAGTACCGGTGAGCCATGTGGCGCCGAAGACTGAGGTGAAGATGAAGATCATCGATGCAGCGGCCGCACCGTATGAGCTTGCTTTGCTCACATCTCCGGCCTCCCTAGCATTGATGGCGAGCCTGGAGAAGCCTCCAGCAAGAAACATGGCGATTCCTTGGGCGACGGATCCCCAGTAGAGGGTCCACCTACGGCCAATACGATCGAGGGTGAAGACACAGATAAGTGTCGCGAACTGTAGAATCGCGATTAGACAAAGTCGGGAGTTTTGGGATGATGGGGACGGACCATGTAGAAAACGTTGTTCAGACCACTGATCCACTGACTTTTCATCGAATCGAACCCGGCAATGCTGAAAATAGTCGGGGCATCTGAACACATCAGTCAGGCTGAAGACATATACAAGCGTTTGACGCTGGCAGCAACGACATACAAACTGTGACACCGGCGATGCCGACCCATTCCTGCATGATCTGCAGCCAGATGACCAGTTGCACACGGCGTTTCAGATGCAACTTCCCGCTCTTGTAGCCGAAAAGCATGGAAAGGTAGGAATTGCTATGGTTTATCGTCTTCTCAAGCTCCGCCACGCTTTGGATGTCACGGAACTCGGCTTCGGCTCGGACTGCGTCATCGCCACTGCTGCCACGGAGGCGTTGTAGGATGTAGCGCGCTTCCTGCTCCCGTCCAACCTTGACTAGCCATCTTGGGGACTCTGGGAAGAACCAGACAGCTGCGAATAGCACGAGCAGGAAGATAATCTGAAAGGCGATTGGAAATCTCCAACGGAAGGGAGATTTTCCGCCATCGATGAAAGATAGACCGCTATTACGTATTAGAAATGACTTCTTCAGACGAAGTGGGAGAGAAGAAGGGCACGCACAATTCCAGCCAGTACGCTAGAACGACACCGAAAATGTTGAGGGTAAACTCGATGGCGATGAACTGTCCGCGAGAAGTGTGTTCAGCAGTCTCTGTAGCCCAGACCGGCACGATTGCGTTCAGAATACCGGTGCCAATGCCGTTGATGAAACGGGCTGAGTTTGATCAGTGACTGCGAAGTTATCTATTGATTCCGAGTATGAAGTCTTACCACAAATCATCCAGTTGTGATTCTGTGCTGAGCATTGCAGCGCGGCTCCAAAGATGGCCCACACAGCGCCCGAAGCAATAGTCTTGATTCTACCGATAGAGTCTCCGATCCATCCACCAAGGAGGCATCCGCAGAGCGTCCCGAGATAGTAGACGGAGACAATTCCTCCCTGTAACAAACTATTTGTGACAACTGGAGTAGGCTGGCCATCTTTCATCTCGGTGTAACCAAAGCCCATCAGATCGATGTAGTCCTTGGCGTTGTTTACTCCGCCCATCATTCCCTGGTCATAACCTGAATATCTGATCAGTAAAGGCGTTAATGATGCTATACGGCAGACTAACCAAAGAAGAGGATTGACAAAGCAGCAACACAATTGATCGCAATCAGGAGCTTCTTTTTCTCCAGCTTGTGTACAATATTCCATGATGATATTTGGTCACTCATTTTGACGGTAGGGTAATTTAGGGACTCAGCAGATTTGCAAGTGAAGTGACAGACGCCTCAAGTGCAGTAGTCGCAATAGGTGCTTCCGATCACGGTTCAAGTGCGTAAGATAGCCTGAGGGCCGATGAGCACTCCAGCATGAACACACCGTAGAGAGTGGACGACGCGAGATCACAATTATCCGAGAGATGCTCTTTTCTGTGGGGTCGTAGACAGCATTTAAATGTGCAGGTCTGCAAGAGACGGCCGGAGGACGATCATCCTAGTGATGATCGGCTGAGGTCCGACCAAAGAATTGGAGTATAGTTCTCTATAGGATAACAAATTTGGTTACATCCCGCGTGGGAGGAGTCTGGTTCCTGGGGTTCGACAAGGAAAAGATGGTCGAGGGAGTCGTATTCCCCACTCTGGGAAGGAAAAACGCACTATGACTCGTCGGTATGGGAACCTGGTTGATGTGATTTGGAGATAGACCGGCAAAAGATGGCTGAACAAAATCGGTAATCCGGGCATGTGGCAGCGGCCAGATGCGCCAGGCGATGGTCGCACCCGGTCACTAGATCGGGAGGCGTTCGGGGAGGAGTCTGATGCTGTGGTCCAGATGTCAGGAACTTGGAGCCAAGTCCAATCTGCGTCATTAATATGGATGGCGCCATGTTTCATTCGACAGAAGGCTGAGAGCTTCAATGAAATCTGCAGTTTTTCCATTGGAAGCATAGAGCGGCTGCTGTCAGTGTGATGCCCTGATGGACACTCGGGTAATGGGAACCGTACGGCCGTTGTGGCCTGTAGATAGGTTGTCTATACGGGCTCACACGAGGGTTCTTTGGCCATCATTTCCTTGGGAAGGCTGATGATCTAGTCCATCTGGGGCCAGAGACACGTTCTATCCAATGGTGTTGGCGAGTCGGGATGGAGTCGGCGTTGCGGGGAGCGCAAAGGGAAATGCTGGGGTCGTTGGGTGGAGAGTCGGAAGTACCCCGACAGTGAGCCTGGGAAATGCCAGTTCGGGATGCTTGAAAGGACCTCATGCTATCGATTGGAACAATGACGATGCCAAGGACGTAGAAGAGTATAGAAGCAATCCTTTGATGTGATTTTTCTCTTTGAAGTCAGCCAAATCTATAGAAACATAATGAAGATAGGAGACTTGGAGGTCTTGGGCCAGACGCAAATGGCATTGCAGCCTGAGGCAACAATGCCTCTTCCATCTGCTGGCAGATTCAAGACAGCCCATAATGAAACTTCACAGCGAGACTACTCCAGCACTAAGTCTAGAACAAGGGTTATACGAGGATTCATTCGGCTACGGACTACAGATCTCCATGCCACATTTATGGATCGATCTTACCAGACTTGGAGCAGTTAAACATGACCGTGGCCCAGTCCTGACTGATCTTTTCCGCATGCTAACCACCTTCTTTTTGTGTCCAATGGCTCACAGGTGTGCAGTCAGTCTGAAGCTCCGATCCGATAACGTTTGTAACAGTTGCTAACTGATGCCTCGACATCTGTGGTCGCACGCGAATCTTAAATGTGCTGAGTAGGACCTACACCGTAAAGGTGGATATATTGTGAGGGCAGGGAGCTCGAGCAGTTCGTCCGCCTTACCAATCTCTGGTTCAAGATGCTATGATTGCCCTGCTTCATCCTTGGAGGTGAGGATTTCTGGTTACTTACCCCCCCTGGATATGTTCTCCATCTGCGAGAGCTGGCGCTTAGAGCCTGGACTTGCCTCTTGAGGGGTTCGAAATCATAACAGTAGGCAGATATTGAGCCTGGATGACTACACTCTTCGACGAACCTGGAGAATGACCGTATATTATGCACGCTGCCTCTGAACGCCGACGGTAGCCATTACTTTTCGTTACCCGCGGAAACCAACGTAATATCGAGGATGATACGTCTCTTCTGAGGATCTGACGGCAGACAACCATTTGCAAGCATATTATTGAGCTTGTTTCCCTTGAAGTAGATGATCATCGGCGACGGCCGACGCTTTCGACCACCTGAGTCTGAGGTATCGTGGTGGTGGTGATGCTTTTCCGCAGGCTTAAAAGAGACCTTATCCACCTTTACCGCTGACGAGTGTGGAATAGTCCGTTCCGGTATACTGCATTACCGATCTGATGTCGACTTCAGCACCACCATACCTTAGTTTCCCGTCTACCTTACAGATGTGATCATTGGCAGTATTTCCTAGCCATGGACATCTGCGCTATTAAAAAGCATACTATGTGGCTTGCCCATAGATGTCCATGAAGTCTTAATTATCAAGCATCACTAGCCGGCAATATGGAATTAGATAGCCGATTTGACCCGATGCTCACTGGTCCGGATGATTACATACGCGACGAATACCGTATCAATACCGGCCCGCCAGCTTTTGCTGCTAGAACCTCAAGAAAGCTTTCCTCGTCCCAACATCCTTTTCCCTATACTATTAGCCTACCATCCCCAATTGTTGCCCTTCCATTCCTCCCCAGTTTCTTGATCTGGAGGATTGGCTATCTCTTTTAATCTCCCTTATACCTGGTATTTTTTCTCCTCTACATTCAGCACAAAATGTTCCGGAGTATGTTGCCGCGGGCGACACCGCGGGCTGCCCTCCGCACCTCCGGCCCTCAGCCTGTCCCTTCTAGCTTCGTTGCTGCTCCTTCTTTGTCCGTATATGGACGCTTCAGACGCGGCTATGCTTCTGAAACTGGTAAGTGATTGATTGTTCCCTGGGGCTTCCGTGAGACGGTGCCTGCGCTTCCGAAGAAAGGGCAGCGGCTGATTGTTGGAATTCCAATATAACAGAGCACGATGTGGTTATCATTGGTGGTGGTGTCGCTGGTTACGTCGCTGCTATCAAGGCCGGTCAAGAAGGTCTGAAGGTGAGTTTTGACACTTTCTGAATGTGAATTCGCTTTGCGCATTTTTGACCCCTTTGCTAACATCTATCGATCTTGCGTAGACCGCTTGTATCGAAAAGCGTGGACGTCTCGGTGGTACTTGCCTGAACGTCGGCTGCATTCCCTCGAAATCCCTGCTTAACAACTCCCACCTCTACCACCAGATCCTCCATGACACAAAAAAGCGCGGTATTGAGGTCGGTGATGTCAAGTTGAACCTCGAGCAGATGATGAAGGCCAAGGACACCTCCGTGGATGGTCTCACAAAAGGTATCGAATTCCTGTTCAAGAAGAACGGCGTCGACTACATCAAGGGTACCGGTGCTTTTGTCGACCCGAACACCGTCAAGGTGAACCTGCTCGATGGTGGTGAACAGACTCTGCGCGGAAAGAACATTCTCATTGCCACCGGAAGTGAGGCCACTCCTTTCCCTGGCCTGAACATTGATGAGAAGAGAATCATCACCAGCACCGGCGCTCTTTCCCTGAAGGAGGTCCCCAAGAAGATGGTTGTCATTGGCGGTGGTATCATTGGCTTGGAGATGGTACGTGAACCTGATGACGAAAATTCGGACGACTTTGAATTTTCCTCGTACTGATTGGGTCTGAAACACAGGCTTCCGTTTGGTCCCGTCTCGGTGCCGAAGTTACCGTTGTTGAATTCCTTGGCCAGATTGGTGGACCTGGTATGGACGCCGACATCGCCAAGCAGGCCCAGAAGATTTTGCAGAAGCAGGGTATCAAGTTCAAGACCAACACCAAGGTCACCAAGGGTGATGACAGCGGCGAGACCGTCAAGCTGAGCGTTGAGGCCGCCAAGGGTGGAAAGGAGGAGACTCTGGATGCTGATGTTGTTTTGGTTGCCATCGGCCGCAGACCCTACACCGAAGGACTGGGTCTGGAGAACATTGGAATTGACAAGGATGAGAGAGGCCGCCTTGTGATCGACCAGGAGTACCGCACCAAGCTTCCCCACATCCGTGTCATCGGTGACTGCACCTTCGGTCCCATGCTTGCCCACAAGGCCGAGGAAGAGGCCGTTGCTGCTGTCGAGTACATTAAGAAGGGTCACGGCCACGTCAACTACGCTGCCATCCCCAGCGTCATGTACACCCACCCCGAAGTCGCCTGGGTTGGCCAGAACGAGGCCGAGGTCAAGGCCGCTGGCATCAAGTACCGCGTCGGTACCTTCCCCTTCAGCGCCAACTCTCGTGCCAAGACCAACCTCGACACTGAGGGCCAGGTTAAGTTCATCGCCGATGCTGAGACCGACCGCATTCTCGGTGTCCACATCATCGGTCCCAACGCTGGTGAGATGATTGCCGAGGCCACTCTGGCCGTTGAATACGGCGCTTCTTGCGAGGATATTGCCCGCACATGCCACGCTCACCCTACCCTGGCCGAGGCCTTCAAGGAGGCTGCCATGGCCACTTACTCCAAGGCCATCCACTTCTAAACCCCCTGAATCCTCTTGCTCCGCCGCCCTGTATTTTCTCCTCTAGCCTAGCCACGCTAGCGAACCACATGTAGCATTTCGCCTTATTATATTTCCTATGTTGGTTGTGTTGTCTACTAGAGAATTTATGACGAAAAGACATATCATCATAGCTCCTATTGTCCATTGAGATAAGAGTCGACTTCCATAAATGTTCGAGTAAGGTCACGTGACAGCTCTCTCAGGTCAGGGCAGCACTTTTGATGTCTTGACATACCATTATGAGCCCAAGCTTCAGGGTGATGTAAAAGTACCTTCAGGCTTTGCAGCAGATTTTATTTTTATATCTGCTGAACTCCTTCAGTGGGCTCATTGCAATGAGCGTCATTTCGGCACCTTTGCAGTAGCTCGTATCGTGACTCAACTGGAGGACTCTGATTTGCTACATTGAGAGCAACATCTTCAGCAACCAAACAGTCTCATATAAACCGGGTCGCGTAACCATTTGCTCTCTTCTTAAACTACATGACTATCCAGGACAACTAGCGTAAGTGAGTCTCGACGTTCAAAGATGGAGTTTCTTATTAATAAAACATATAGGTCATTGGCTGAACACTTAAATCTATCTCTACAAGAGATCAAATCTCTGTTATACATTACTTGCAAAAGAGAGCCTGGTGGTTCATATTGCCTAATCCCCCAACAATAAATATGGCATCTCTCACGAAAACCAAACAATCACCCTCCAAACTCACACCAACACTCCCCACACAAGAATGCTTATCCCTCTCCCCCAAAACCAAGAAATTCCTTCACCGCATCTCTCTGCACCCAACCCTAACCCCTTACCGCCGCCGCGTCTACCGCACCCTCCTCTCCGTGCCGGAAGGCCGCTGGACCACTTACTCGGCGCTCGCGACTCATCTAGGTTCCAGCGCACGGGCCGTGGGGAATGCAATGCGCACGAACCCGTTTGCGCCGGAGGTGCCCTGTCATCGGGTGCTGGCGACGAATGGGACGTTAGGGGGTTATAAGGGGGAGTGGATCTTGGGTGGGAAGTATCAGGTTGAGAAGAGGCGGTTGTTGGAGGGGGAGGGAGTGGTGTTTGATGAGGGTGGAAGGGCGCAGGGGGAGTGCTTTCGGGGGTTTGTGGATTTGGGGAGCGGGAAGTAGGTCAGGTCTGGTGAATGTTTGTTTGGGGTCTGATGCTGATGGTGAAGATAGTTGAGTTTATTGAATGATTTCGACAGGGACTGTGAATACTTTGTCATTGCTGAGTGAATAGATATTCATTCTCTAACCTTGATCGGATGTCTGTTCAGCGTAGTCAACCTCGGCTCCTTCTCATGTTGACTTTCCGGCTATCTGTTCTGGCGTCAGCCATCATGTACGGCTCCTATATTTATGCAATGAACATGACCCAGTATTCATGCATCGATCAGCAATCAAGTATCGCCGGTGAGCAACAAGATTGACAACTTCGGTGATGAGTGACGGGAATGCTCTATAGAATATGGAAAGTACGTTGACCCCTTTCCCTCTATAGCTTGACTATGTTCTAACCCACGAAGGAGACAGGCAGGGGTCCCAGTTGCTCGCTCAGAATGGGTGATCGATGTCGCATCTTGAGGCCCAAACAGAGGATGGCAGAGAGTACGACATCTTCTACCTGCAGAACAGGGTACCGGATGGTAAAACTGGTATATCCACCCCAATGGAATAAGCGAAGGGAATCACCCTTCCTCCCAGAATGGCTGGGGAATGAGGTTCTACATTGAAAACCGCGACTGGGAGAGCTACTACACTGATTGCTAAAGCTGATCCTTCGAGCAATGCTGCCGCTCTTGCGGAACCAAGCCCTCATACATGAACTGAAGGCAATTATCTGGACGATGTTTCCTGCCGAGCATGTGTGTATGCTGCGGCTTACTTTCACGGAGCGCGGCGCTCATCGAGGACTATGTTAATTGTCGTGCTATCATGGACCTAAGATGCTCATAGTCGGTAAATGCAGCGGCGATTGTGCAGAAACGGTTACATATCGGCTGTACAGTCGAAGCATTCGAGAAATATATCCTTCTCCCCTCGGTGGCACCAGCCTACGGACGGTGTTAGCTGAGCTAATGATCCGCCGCACGTTGCTTTCCCCAATCCCATTCGACTCAATGGTTATAATCGGCACGGTATCGCCACCCTGAAGGAACATGGAAGAGCGTTATTGACCAAGCCATTTTACACATTGATACAGAATGTGTGGGCAGTCCTTATCATACACAATGGAAGTCCCATCTCTGTGGGAGGTTCCGGAGATTGCTGAATATCTCAATGAAGACAGAACTGCAGGTAAGCATCCCAGCTGTGAGGCAATAACAGTAACTTATGACTAACTATCATTTAAGCCTGCAGAGAAGTAATAGGTCTCATTAAGAGCCTATTCTGGTTTGGCTGGTACGACGACATTGCTGAAGCTATTGATGACCCCGCATTCACTATCCATGATGAGGTGGATTCATTCCCGCAGGGGCAAATATCACCTATGACCCTAGGCCTCGCAGCTCCATACTTGGAGTCTGATATTGCTGTTCCTGTGTTCTCCGCGGGCATGCCCCATACAATCTCTCTAAGATCAGTTCATAATTGCTTACTATCAAGAACAAACATCAAGAGCGGTTCCAATGAGACTATAAAGCCCCTTCACCTGGCCTGGCGGCATCGCGACACCTTAACAGAAACGAACCGATACAACGTTGGCGGCAAGAGGAACCGGCATGATAGCATCCGTGTTGAGACAACAAGACGCCTTATTGCCGAAGGCGAACGCGCTGCGAAAGATGATCAAAATTGGTAATACAACTCCCGCTTGCAGGGCACGGCGCGGGAAGAGAGGATGGAGCCGGTCCAAGTAACCAGGTTCAAGTCTGAGAAAATATGGCATAATGGGCTACCATTCTGGAGCCCCATTGACCTCCTGGGTTTGCTTCTATCGTCTCTAGGCCCGGAACCGGCTGGTAGTCGGAGTCGTTTCCTCTGATGCAGTCTTGCATGTTCTGTATTCAATATGGCCATCAGCCAAGCCAGCACGGAGGGCCGAACAAATGGCTAATGCTCAACTTGATCACTGTGTCTTTGTGAGACCCCTGTATGTCCTTAAGAGCTGCTTTGTTTTGCTCCGTCTATCTTGGTCGCGCTAACCTGCAGTGTAAGGTCGATGAAGCATCGGAATCCGCTACTCCCTCTCACTCCTCGAAGCCGATTACTCCTGCGAAAAAGAAGGTCCCTCATGTTGTGCTCTCGTCTCCTGTCGATAAACCCAATCAGTCCCCGGGGGTAGTGACACGTTCTCGGGGAAAACTATCGGGTTTCTTCAATCCTCCTGCGTTCGCCAAAGGTGGTACTCCGTCCTCGAAGGACGACGATGGTACACCGAGTTCTTCGAAAGCAGACAAGAGTAAGGCGGTTGATCTTCGCCCACACGGATTCTTTCGAGCTGATGAGTTTGGGGTAGTTTCGTTCCTCCATCAGCGTACTCCGGAATAGCACCTACTCATCATTGTCCTTGCGTGGTGCTAGAACGCAATGCATCGCTCCAACATCTCGGGCTTGATGTTCCGACAAAGATAGCAAATTCAAGTTATTGAACTGTTCGAAGTCCCGCTATTTTACGAGGATGGACGCAGTGTAATCCAGCCTGGGAGAATGAATTTGAGACAGGCTCAATAGTTCTTGAACAGTGATGGCGCCAAGATAATATTGAGAGCTTCGGTGTTGATGCAATACCAAATATTGCAAAAGAGGAGCTTCAGAAACGGCATGATGCTGTTTGCAATTTGGCCGCTTGACTAATGCGATGGTATGCAGAAACTGGATATTGAGGTCTATTGGCAGACAAACCAAGGGCATGCCATTGACGGGAATGTTCTGATCATGAAACAACAAGCATTGCACGAACATCTCGGGTTACTCCAGAAGAGAAGGAATGACATCCGTCACCTTATTAACGGAAACACAACCGTCCAATCTGGCGACAGGCTCACTCTAAAGACTGCTCTTGATGGGATTTTCCATGATTCACCCTGGCCAAGCTCTCTAACATATAGGACATAAAACTGTTCTTTCTCTCTACTCCATCCGGAGAGTAGTCTCCTGAGGCAACTGAGAGAATCGACAGATATGAACGCCACAATCGGCCTGATGAAACCATCTTAAAGACGTTGAATTGCTCCAGTGGCACTTCCGGCAGTCCGTGCTAGCGAACATGAAGGGGGCTGGCGAACCCATCTTCGAACACGGCTTACTCGTTAGTGCAAAACGAACCTGTGCATCTCTACCTTGAGTTTACTGACCTGGCAGCTAAGGAAGGTACGCGTATTCTCCTTTTCCTTCCATGGTGGCCTTAGCTACCAGCTCTAGTTGCATTCCAACATGAACTGGCCGCCGTTGCAGAGAGAGAATATCAAGGCCGCATAAATTGGCACGCAAAGCTTCCACACGAAGACCTGATTCCTAACAAGTTCATCTGCTTCCAGGACGTGAGATATTTGAAGAGGCGGATATCAACTCAAATGATGATGTTGTCTGGGGCATACTCAGAACTTTCAGCTACTTCAGCGGCAGCTGAGTACCGGAGCAGCAACCTTGAAAGATCAAGAGTCTGCTGGTATGGTTCGTGAGAACCATATCCGACGCAGGGGGCGCTATTAAAGACAAAGCAACGCTGGTAGTGTCTCGCAAACTTCTGGAAAAGTACAGAACTGTACACTTGGCTGCTTACAGTGCCTTGGTAATGATTACTCGACCAAGCTCGCAATAAACGTCGCCAAAGCAACATGAGGCTGTAGCTAAACTACAACACCTACACAAGGTACAGAGTCTAACACCCAAACACCATGACTTCTCACGACTGGGTCTCGTATTCGGCGCCCTCACTTGAGGGCCTTAGTAGGTTGTGAGCATGTGCAGCTCAAACTTGGCCGCATCCTCAACTTGACAGTCACTCAACTGGATGACTATGTCCAGGGCTTGGAGATACCCAAATATTCAAGGTCTTGCCAGACTTTTGAAGAGGAGGAAAGCCATTTATACAGTGACTCTTTCCCACAACTCCAAATACTTCTCGCCACAGTGCAACCACCAGGCCTACGAACAGGCACACTAGGGATTAACTCAGGAGCTACAGAAAGTCCAGCTTCTCCGGCCTTATTGAAGCCATTCTCTGAAATCGAGAAGCTGGGAAGGCTCCCGAATGAACCGCCCTAGATGGCTAATTCCTTCTATTACAGGAAATCCCAGGAATTGAATACATCCTCCAAAAGTAGCCGGCAGCGGACTCTGCGCGAGCTGCCGGACACGAGACACCGCAGCTCAATCCCTGTTGATATGTTACACACAAAAAGGCACAGCTACTGAACCGTATGCCAGAATGAGCATATCATAGATCTGGTCTGTTCCTCCGCGAGTAGATTCAAGTTATGTTCTATGTCTTGCTAGGGTGACACTAATCGTTTTCAAAGAGGGGTTCCCTTTTCGCTGGTTCTCAATTGACGGGCTTGTAATCATCGAGCATATATATCTTATTGTATTTCAGTAATATGATCAAGTGCATCGATCTATAAATCCAAAATATGAACATCGTAAGAGATATGTATAAATGAAACATAGTACAACAAGTCAAATCCATGAAAGCAGCCATTCGCCATCCAGTCTACCATGAATTCACAAACAGAAAGAAATAAATCATCACACATAGTAGCCTTGACATATCCCTTCGATCTGTTCTGTCGTCCAGGGCAGGAAACAACGCACAACTGTAATGAAGAAACATATGCCTTGACCTGTCTCCGAACGCCTCTATACCTCATGTTCGTTGCATCGTCAAACCAACAAATGTAAAATAAGAGAATAACATCGAAAGGAAAAGCAAAGTAGCGAAAAGTAAACCAAAGGATGCTAGAAAGCAAGAAACTGGAATGGAGAATCAGTAGAATCGTACATGTCTAAACCAGCATCAATCATGAAGATGAACATGAACATAGAGAGAGAAGAAAAGGTCAGGCAGACGCCTTCGGAACTCGCTTCGTCATCCGGCGTTTTGGCAGATCCATGTGATGGGATGAACGAAGATGCTCAATGAGATGGTCTCGCCGCGGGAAGCCATTGCGATCCTTCCGCGGGCAGTGCTCCACGGGGCAATCCTGGTAGACCGGGTAGTGGACACTGGTCTGGTGCCGTTTGAGGTCAGCGGAGCGGGTGAAGGCCTTTCCACAGTCTTCGCACGCATAGGGTTTGGATGACCTGAAGGTTCAGAGTTAGTTAGGTGTTGGATCCAGTCAAGGGAGCATACCACAAAACGGGATGCCTACTTGGAGGACTCGGAAGAGGAAGCGCTGGTGCTCAGCGAGTAATGTGTGAGCAACGATTCTTCGAAGCTCGGAGTGAATGGAAACTGGGTCTCGTAGGACGAGGAGTAGGATGGGATGGGGACGCTGTAGGAGGTGTTCAAAGCGTAGAGGTCTGGGACGCTGGTAGCGTTATAGGGACTTGGCGGCGAGAACTCGTAGACCGAGTCGAAAGGATGACTGAGAGGGATTTCGAGCTCGTTTCCGCCGGGGAAGACGTCTGCAAAGCTGAAGGACTGAGCAGAGTGTGGGCTTGGGGACTGCTCCATGGGGGTGGATGAAGGGAGAGTTGAGTTCTGGGAGTAAACAAGCAAATTAGTTTAAATTGTTGTAGTAAACGAGTTCAGACCGTAGTTACCACTGTGAACCGAGGGTAGAGTCTGTCGTTCATTCGAGAGTACATGATGATCGAAGAGTGTAGGTGTAGACGAAGATGAAACAAAAGAAAAGGGTCTGGAAGTTCTTATAATGATAATTAAGACAGCAAGAAGAAGCCGAACGCGACAGCCATGAAATCAACTGGTCGCACGTGCACCAAGTTCTGGATTTCTCCTAATCGATGGCCTAGCGGACATCGCGGCGGGCTATACATTGAGTATTTAAGAGAGACTTCAAATGAGTTCGAACCAGTCATGGGCGACGTCACCTGAACGAGGAATCAAGGTACCTGATTTGATCCAATGGATGGGCTGGGGTAAGCGAAGACGAGAGGAGAGACGGCCTGAGAGTCGATTCCCAATGATCCAACCTGACCAAGTTATTTGGCTAATCTGCTAGTTTTATCATCGCGACACTCAGCCACTATCGAGCGCGACAGTGATTGGAGGGACTGCTGCGGGAGAGTGAAGCGGTCGATCATCACCAGGCAAGAACCCTGCTTAGCGTTGGCGCCAGAAGACTCGGGGAACAATGGAAACTTCTTTGGCCCTTCTAGCGTCAAACGCGGGTGCTTCTTGGGATTTCCCCTGCGGTGGGATTGACAGTTGTGATTGGAGAAAGTGGACGGGGATGAATAGCCCACACCATCCGACTGCAGTCGGAAACACGATGAGGACGATGATAGGTGTGATCATATAATGCCGACATCATCGTTCTACTGACTAGATAGTCGGTATGCGTTCATTCACATGAATGTGCTGTGGAGCCGCTGCTGAGTTTCTGTTTGGCCGTGAGGCTTCCGAGATACCTACTGTGGTAGACCTGTACTCCGTGGTTCGTACAATCTGCCCCATTTTCAGTAAGCTGATTGCCTTGGTTACTGGGTTAGTTTGACTTGCGGATCATCTGCGATGAAGGCATCGACATTGTGTGATTTTGATTCGCTGAGAGACTCACCGGGAAGGCACTGGTACTAGTCAGTACCTCTTGGACAAAAGTATCTTCTCGGAGCGAGGTTAGGAAAAGGGTGCCAAAGGGTAAAATCCCCGCAAAGGACGACAGCCTGAGAGGAAGT